GAATTCTGTGGAAATTGATAAAAGTGGCATGGGAAAAACAGGTTGTACCTAGAGCATGGCGCAGAGCAGGTGGAGTTTTTATACCTAAAGAAAAAGATGCTACAAGCATCAGTCAGTTTCGTCCTATTTCACTATTAAACGTTGAGGGTAAGATTTTCTTCAGCATTATTGCCCAGAGATTGTCCACCTACCTGTTAAAGAATGGCTTCATTGACACCTCAGTTCAAAAAGCGGGCATTCCAGGGTTCTCAGGATGCTTAGAACACATCAATGTTATCTGGTAACGAATTCAGTCAGCTAAAAAGGAGAGGAAGGAGCTCCATGTGACATTCCTGGATTTGGCTAATGCATATGGTTCAGTGCCACATGAGCTTCTTTGGGCAGCATTTGATTTTTTCAGAGTACCAATGTCAATAACAAATTTAGTGAAAGCCTATTTTGGAGATTTGCAATTCAGTTTCTCAACTCCAAAATTCAGCACTGCATGGCAATGCCTAGAGGTTGGAATAATGGCAGGATGCACCATTTCTCCACTGGCTTTTACCATGGCGATGGAAGTAATCATGAGGGCATCAAGATGGGTAGTAGGAGGAGAGCGCTTGGCTTCTGGGATGCGACTACCACCAATCAGAGCATACATGGATGACATGACAACCATGACTACAACAGTAGCCTGCACTAATCGGTTATTGGGGAAGTTAACAGATAATATTGAATAGGCACGAATGAAATTTAAGCCCTCTAAATCAAGGAGCATCTCGATAGTTAAAGGAAAGGTAGTAGATAAAACATTCTTCATTAATGGTGAGGCAATACCAACAGTTTTTGAGAAGCCAGTGAAGAGTCTTGGGAGATGGTACGATGGGGATCTAAAGGGCACAGTTCGGGTGGGAGAAGTTAGACGACAAGCAGTGGAAGGGTTGAAGAGCATAAACAGCTGTGCTCTACCTGGTAAACTAAAACTCTGGTGCTTTCAGTTTGGTCTACTGCCGAGGTTGCTGTGGCCACTGACCGTGTACGACGTTTCTTTGACAACAGTGGATAAGCTGGAAGCGTTGATAAGTTCATACATCAGGAAATGGTTGGGAGTTCCACGCTGCCTCAGCAGAGTAGGACTTTATAGTAAAGGAATATTGCAGCTGCCAGTCTCTGCTTTAACCGGGGAGTTCAAGCGTGCCAAGGTCAGACTGGAAATGACCTTAGTAGAGTCACGCGACAAATGTGTAAGGGAGGCAGCCCCTGTGTTAAAAACTGGTAGAAAGTGGTCAGCAAAGAAATCTGTAGTAGAGGCAAAGGCTGCCCTTCAAATTAGGGATATCGTGGGACAGGTACAGCATGGAAGAGGGGGTTTTGGGCTCAGTTTAGCTCCTCCTAAATGGCACAAGGCAGGCCCAGCTCAAAGGAGGAAGCTGGTAGTCAACGAGGTGCGACAGCAGGAGGAGAGGATGAGGTGTATAAAGGCCATTTCCCAGGCCAAGCAGGGAGAGTGGATGAGATGGGAGAGTGTGGAACAACGTAAGATGGGCTGGCAAGACCTTTGGTCAATGGAAGAGAGTAGGATCAGTTTCCTTATTAGGTCAACATATGATGTTCTCCCATCACCGCAGAACCTAAACCTCTGGGTAGGAGAGGATCCCTCTTGTCCTTTGTGTTCATCACCTGCCACATTAAGGCACATTTTGACAGGATGTAAGGTGGCTCTTAGCCAAGGTCGGTTTACTTGGCGCCATGACCAAGTACTGCGATGTTTGGCTTTAGCATTAGAAGGCAAGCGTAACATGACCAATAAGTTGCCACCTGTTCTAGCAAAACATTACACGCAGAAGACAATATTCCTCCGCCCAGGCGAGCAACCACCAAGAAAAGGTGTTAACACCAATTCTCGCCCAGGACAACTGGAAGCTGCTAGGGACTGGAAGATGCTGGCTGATCTTGACCAACGGCTTATTTTTCCACCTGAGATTGCCACCACTAACCTACAGATATTGTTTTGTGGTCTGGATCAGCACGCATTGTTCAACTGATAGAGTTAACAGTGCCATGGGAGGATGCGGTAGATGAGGCATATGAGAGGAAGTAACTGCGGTATGCTCATCTGGCCACTGAAGCAGAACAGCGAGGATGGAGAGTCCAGGTTTATCCAGAGGAAGTGGGTTGTCGAGGTTTTGTGGCACACTCTACAACCCGGTTCCTCAGAGACATCGGATTCAGCGGCCAAGAGTTGCGTCGCACAGTAAAGAACTTATCAGAAGCAGCAGAAAGGAGCAGCAACTGGCTGTGGTTGAGACGGAAAGATTCTAGCTGGCTGTGTACAGGCCGCCATGCTACGGTTTCGTAGAATTCTTGAAAACTTGAAGAGTCTGTTGGTTTGTTTGTATACGTTCCTGTGGATATTGCGTGAATGACGGGTGGTTGGGCAGATGTTGTGTTTTGCGGTAGGTGGTATGCCATACGGAACCGTTGTCCACTGAAACTGCATATTAACGCACCAGTGGGGCTCGACAGCCTTAGTCAAACGGGTTGGCGCGTATGGTCGGGTTGCGGAGAGATTGTGAGATTGTGGTTAGGTCTCAGCAGCAGGAGGGATGTAGAGGTCAGCAAGCTGGGCTGAGTTGAGTGGGGGACGGAGGGGGGTGACTCTGGGACGCCAGAGTCACTGTCGAGCCCTCTTGAGGTGTCGTGGGCTAGTCGACGAAACACTGAGGACGGAAGGTGCCCACTTGAAGACCCTAGAGATGTCCCCTACTCGGTTCAATCCAGACGGTTGTCGTGCTGGTCCTGTAGTTGAAGCCGTCGTGTGCGCTGACGCGCCAAGTACACTGCTGCCGTTAACGCCGGACAGAAGGGGAGTCACACCACCTTATGGAAAGAAGCGTAAATGGATGGAGAAGCATAGTTTACTGTAAAGCTACGTCTTAGTTTTCCTTATCTTGGCGAAAGCCGAGTACAAATCAGCATGAAGTTTTAACATCTACTCTCGTGTAATGGAAATCATGAAAAGAGATCCGCATGAGATGAGTAAGATAGGATCATAAGATGACCAATATATCGGAAAACATTTGGAATGGGTCAGATTTTGACCACTTATTTAGTTTTGTTTTGTAGAAAGCCTTTCTTTAAAGTTTATTTCGTTTTGTATAAATTGTATCTTCATTTTAATCAATGTTTCATCAACAAATTTGCCTGGATTAATAAATAAGAAGCAAATATAGTGGACAATATAATCAGGACACAGAGCATTTCTCTCTATCTCTCTATAGGCGCGTTCACTACTGCGAAGATGGCGAGTCTGACTCTGCATCGTCAACTTTATCAATTTATCAACAATTCAAATGTTTCATGCATAATCATTACTTTCGCCGGTTCTTTGTGGCAAGCTTTATTTCAGGTGTTGCGTGATATCTCTGCACCCAAGTAGCAGTGCTTCGCCTGTGCTGCTCTATTCGCCTGTCCGCAACGGCGATAGATTGAAACGCGTGTCCGAGTGAAGATTGCGCTACTCGCGCAGTGCGTCGTCCATGCAACTGACACAAGAGCTCAGCTTGATTTCAAAAACAACTGATTTTAGCGCTAGATCTCTTATTTAATAGCGAACTAAATGAATGATCTGCTAGTTAACTGGAGATGTTTTATTTATTTGTATTAGGTACATCCGTGCCTCAATGTTTCAAAAAGTGAATGTGTGTGAAACCATAGTAAAAAACAATTGGTGTTGATTGACGCCAATCGGACGTTCATGTTTTTTTCCGTCTATTTGAAAGTTAGGCTAATAATAACATGTTGCATTCTATACGGCCTGATTATGTCATTTTTTAAGTTACATAGCCTGCCTCCAGTTTTCCTCAACTTGACTAATTAAGAGGCGATATTTGACCGGCATATCATCAAAATGTCCGTTAAACGAAACCTCTTGACCGGCACCATTTTTTTCTAGTGGAAACTCTGACCTCTGCAGTGCAAAGATGAATTTTGTTGTTAGTGATATCATTCGATTGGTAACAGCTCTATATAGTGTCTTATTCTTCTAACTGTATTAAATATAAGACATTTCTAAGGCAGTAAATGTGGATCTTTTAGATTCATTTAAGGAGTGCTGGTCTGGTCTTGGCCTTGACTTAGTCGCGCCCTGCCATTGTCTTGTCTTGGCCTCAATCCCTCAAAGTCTTGGTCTCAACACACACTGCTCTTTGTCTTGCCCTCGGTTTAGGTGGTCTTGACTAGAACACTAATAGTAGCTATGCAATTGGCCCCAGAAGTTTGTGATTATTAGAGAATGAGGGACTACTTGTACCTGTACCATGTTTTACACCAAAAACATGACATTTAGGAGACAATCAACTTGTGTAGCGTAGCGCTACCAACACCATGGTTCCCAAGAAACACATACTGATAAAAGACACCCTGAAAGCACCTTAAGTTGCTTTGGATAAACAAAAAACAAAATGTGATCATACACTACTGGATACCAGATTAAATAATAATAAGAGTAGCATGGACAGCGATTTGATATAATGAAACAAGCACGAAAAAACATGAAAACATTCTGTATCATTATCCCTGTGCAGTCGGATGTAGTTGGCTCGGTAACTGAGAAATCCAAACATGTACACGCTTGATCCTGGTTCCTCTTGGCCACAAAGACTCTGCCGTCATTGTCAGCCCACAGGAAACATAAAGGGGGTTCTGTAATCCCTGCACCAGACAGGCCTGGATACAGCGCCAGATCCTGATAAGATTAGGTCGCTAAAGGAGCGAACCGGGCTAAAATTTGAGAGAATTGTGAAGAGAGCCAGCTCTGACATGTGGCACCGACAGAGCTGCGAGTCGGCCCAGCCCTGGCCCGGTCTCATATGGGACACGGTCCTCTCATTATCAGCGAGAGAATCTTATCAGGCCTGGCTAGCTGCTGGCGGTCTATCCGTCTCTCTCTTTTTCTCTGTCATCCACACGCACACACAAACACACTCAGGTTGAGCAGGTGGATGGAGGTCATACCATACCTTGTATGATGTCTGGAGGGGAGGTTGTGGCGGAGATGGTGGTGGTGGTGGTGGTGGTTGTGGGTTTAGGGGTTGTGGTAAGGGCATCTAGATGGAAAAACACAACAAAAAAACATGACATACGGGGAAAATCAGGAAAAAACGAAACCAAACATGATCAAATCAACAACAATGAAAGACTGATTTGTGTTTATGTGTATTATGTGTAGCTTTACTCCACAGATGGCAAATAAGTCTATAAACTACTAGTGAATTATCAAGCATAACTACTGTACAAAATGAAATATTACTCTCTGGTGAAGAAGTCATTACACAAGGTAACTGTGGGAATAGTACTGTGGTGACATATTATTGTGTGTGTGTGTGAACATTTATTGCTGATTTAATGTTTGGGAAATAGAATAAAACAGCATTTAACAACAATTAAAAGAAACTGAACAAAAATGAAATGATGACATGAGGGAATGATTAGAAATGAAGGAAAACATAAAATGCAGATGGTTATGCATTTAAAAATGTCCATGCTAACAAATGACCATAGCGATGACACACAGAAGGGGTCCTGGCATACATTCTCCTGTTTGTTTTTTGCATTTTCACACTTCATTAGCCGCTTTCCCCCCTTTTATCCACTAATGTTGCTTCTGATTTAGCAATTTGTAGTGTGGAGTGCTGGACGCAATATTGATAGAACCCAGAGACAGCAGCGGCGGTCGTGACAGGCTTAGCGTGTTTGATGTCGGCGAGTTAACCCAGCGGGAGCGTTAGCCAGTCCGGCACGTGGGGTGATCAGGATTTTTCACGGAGAGACAAACAGGCAAACATTAATGAAATGAGGAATGGGAAAGGAAAGTGCGGGCATGGGAGATAACAGGCGTGAAAAGTGACGCGGCCCGCGCCACTGTTTGCCCAGCGCGTCCAGACAGATACCACTGTGTTAACATCTGTGGTGGGGGAGATTGGTCGGCTGTCTCCCCTCCCCACTTTGTTGTCTGTGCTCCATCAAAAGAGCTCGGTGGGAGCCCAGAAACGTTTGCACTCTCTAATGATAAACATCCAGCAGGATGAAGCGCGGGCAGAGAGGAACTCTGCCTCCATCTCCTCTGCTGATACACAGATCACTCAGAAAATGGCAGCTATGTATTGAGTGTCATGCCACACTACAGGCCTTTTAACTCGGCGCTAAACACTTGCTAAGGCCATATTTACCCCTGTTAAATTAACAGTCGATAGATGTGCAGTTGTAATACCGTTTCACGGTCTGTCCAAATATACACTCACGATGTTTAATTGTCTCACATCGGACTAAAGTGTTCGCATGACGTTTTAAAAAGATAAACATTTTTTTAGTCAGACTGAAATTAAATTGATTAGTAGACGTGCATGGGAACATATTTGGTGTGATTAATATGAGTAATATAACTCAGGATTACATTTTCCTAGGTCCAAAAGAAATGTGATCATTTCACTTCATGAGAAACACCCCCCCCCCACACACACACACACACACACACACATATATATAACCCAGTAGGAGCGTTAGTCAGTCCAGCGCGTGGGGTGATCAGAATTTTTCTTTAGTAATGTAATACTAAAAACTAAATGTTACTTTAGTAATGCAAATAATATCACTGAGTTTGAAAAAAAACAACAACAATGAGAAATAAACATTACATCCATTTTAAATAATTATAATGCAGGTCCCACTCAGACTTTACACACATTATTCCTGACAACAGCAATTATATTTTTGATTTGATATGTGATTATGCTATTCAATTTTTGCCCTTACCACTATAACACTCGGACTAATTAAATTAAATATTAAGATCCAGTCTTTCACAAATATATATATTTAATAGCACTATTTTAACAGGGGCACAAACACTCGATTTATACACAACTAAGGCTATATTTATTTGATCAAAAATTAGTATTGTGAAATACTATTACAATCTTAAAATAACTGTTACTCCAGTCTTCAGTGTCACATGATCCTTCAGAAATCATTCTGATATGATGATTTGTTGCCCAAGAAACATTTATTATGTTGAATGCAGTTGTGCTGCTTAACATTTTTGTTGAAACCGTAATTTGTTTTTTTCAGGATTCTTTGATGAATAGAAAGATCAAAAGAACAGCATTTATTTGAAATACAGACATTTTGTAACATTGTAAATGCCTTTACTGTCACTTTTGATCATCCTTGCTGAAAGTATTATCATTTCTTAAAAACAAGAAAAGAAAAATCTTATTGAGCCCAAACGTTTGAAAGCGAGTGTAATTTGTATATTGTATTTACTAAAAGTATGACAGGTATTTATATAAGAGAAATATAAATAATGAACTATAAAATGATTAAACAAAAAGCAAGCACATTTATTCTTCATAAAAAGAAAAAAACTACAGCATTCCCCACTGCACCCTGTCCATCTCTTTAAGAGACAGAAGCGGATGTGACTGCTTTACTGCACTTTCTGATGGAAAAGGTACTTTCAAAGATTTGTATGTTTGGCATGCCAATAAAAAACCATAATGGATCACAAGATGTCAGCTGTAAGTTGTTACCTGTCTCAAACTACACTGATTCACAAGGCAATCGCAGCTAGGTGAAAATTTCTCTCCCAGACATCTTCCAGAAGTGCAGAGCCATGTTGATTTCTCCTGCAGAAGATTTTGCACCCGTATACCAGAGAACAGAGGGAACCTGCTAAATTGTGCGGGATTTAAACACAATCATGCATCTCTAAAAGTACATGGGCTAAATTGTTTAATATTTTGACACGCTTGGTCATCCTTAATATCCTAAGGCAAAAAGGCGAGAGGAAACAGCTGACCCAGGAAACTCAGAGAGCAGTCAAGCATGGAAAATACAGTCTAACGAAGAGCAATATAGCTCACTTTACAAGCAGCAGCACACTTGATCAATAGCCACTATAGACTTCATTTGCATTAAATAATGTGTGCTGGGTCTGGGAAGCTTAATGCTGTATGAACTAGCAGATACATAAATGTTTTATTAAAGAAAGACGGGAGAAAGTGAAACCCCTTAACACACGTTCGGTTAAACTCGGCACAATATCCGACTCAGTGGAGTGGCAACTTTATTGGCGCCACACCGTTATGAACTGTGAATGCCCAACAGATGTTTGAGATCACAGATGTCAATAGCTCATTAAAAACTTGGCAGGCCGATTGGATCTATAACTCACCGCGTTTAGAAACAGAACCCATTTTTGTACATTTTTCGGAGGATGTCTTTTTAGAAGGCAACCCGATGCCTTGGTGTATCAAGGCTTATTGACTTTCACAGCACATACCTGCCATGTCATCCCAGCGTGTGTTTATCACGGCACATTATGAATCATAGCGACGGGCTGGGGCTTGTGTGTGTGTGTGTGTATAGCAGGCTCATTAAACCCGGGACACTGCAAAATACTGCCGGTTACACTGATTCCCCAGATACGCAAAGGCTAACGCTAGAACGAGAACTCATATTTTACTCTCTCCCTCGCTGAGCCACTCGCTAAAACGCTGCATCTCCCAAATGAGATGCGGACCAACGCATGAGTGGCTCGCAGAGACATGGAAGGGTATCAGGAGAGCGAGGTACATACGAGGAGCTGACTAGATGAGCACTTTAATCGGCATGGCATTTCCTGGCATGTCCTGGGACTCCTAACGGATAACAGTCATTCAGGAACGACACGGAGAGGGAAAAACACACATGAGTAATAGTGTGATTAGCAATGGGCGCTCAGGGCTGTTGATTTGCCCATCAGCAACCTTCTGTCATCAGGCAGCTTTGCGTGTTTGTTCAAGGAGATTTTCGCTTGCTGTAGCAAAACTAGCAAGAGGAGGGGAGGGAGCTTAACCCAAGTATTGTAATGCGTATGATAATGTGGGGCTATATGCCAGCTTTAGGTTTGGAACACAAGTATAAACACACACTACCAACTAAAACAGTGGTCCTTAAACTGTACACTGTATTTCCACTAGATGGTTCTTGAAACAAAAATGACTGAAAACCATTTAAAAATAAAATAAAATAATTATTTTAAAAAGTCATTTTTACATCCTAAAATTGCACTAGCTGCAATGATTAGAGCAGGCATAATTGTATCTATGATCAAAGAAAAACAAAAGCTTTCGAAAATAGCGATCAAATGCTATTTCTAGAGGGGGGAAACATATGCATGGACTTCCTTCCAACTGTTTAATATTACTGTTTAATTACATCAATAAATGGCAAAAGTGCCATTTCCTTGCTATAGCATGAATTCAATCAGAGTGCATTCCTCCTCCATAGACTACACATTCCTCCTCTCTATAGCATCAATGGACGAGAGGTGAGTGAACAGCGTAAAATAACAAGTACCTGCAAATCTGACACTGGCAGCAGCACTGAAACGATCGACTCCAATGAAAGGCTAATAAAGGGAGGGCTTAGGAGACGGCCCTTGTTAATGACTCTGGCAGACGGGATGAAATGGGTGTGGATGGGAGAGGCTCCTCTGCCTTTGAGCCATGAGACATGAAAGCACTTAAAAACAGCACCCATCCAATCTGCCAGCTGAACCATGTTATGAGAGATTTATGTTTCTCAATAATTACAAAGCAACTAGAGGTGGGCATAGATTATTTTTTTTAATCTAGATTAATCTAGATTAATATTGAAATTAATCTAGATTAATCTAGATTAAAATGGCTCATTTGAATTCTCCCGAAGACATTCAGAATATGTGTGCTACCCAAATAATGACTAAAAGTAAGTCTTTGAGAATAGTTTGCCTCGCGTAGGGATGTGCATTTCTGCCAAAAATGCCATTCGACAATCGAGGAGCAAAAGTCGAATATCGTTAAAAAAAAAAACAATAAAAAAAAACGCAATGACAGAAAGGGAGGCCAATTTCATCTTTAGCGATTTGTCATCAAACAAACTGTTTAGTAATTGAACAAGTAACATGTTTTCGTCCTTTTTTAACATAGTAGGCTAATTGGAAGAAGAAGAAAAACAATACGCACGACAGTCCGTTTTTGCATCGCCAATGCTCGTTAGATCAAAAAATAATGTCATCATATGTCAT